GGGGATTGTTCGAGGCGGGGAGGCGGAGGAGAGAGGGGACGGGGAAAGGGGGGTGGGGGGAGGGGGTGGGGGGTTGCAGGTTCTGGGCTAGCCTGGCGGCAGCCTGTTGGAAGCCTGTCCGTGGCTGATGTGGTGCGGAGATTTTTTCCCAGATGCGGAAAAGCACATGTTCTCTCGCACAAGCCAGTCGCACGAAGACAGGCTTCCATTTGGAGACGGCGGCGATCGAACGTCTTGAGGGCACACCTCTCTACTTTGAGTCGTACCCCTTCCACCCCCTCTACCCTCCCAACCAACCCGTGAAATGTGTGACAACCCCTCGTTCAACGGCGCCTACGCCAACCGTGGCTCTGCCACTCCCGAGCTTGAGCTGTATGCTGGGTCGTCCAGCCTTCCTGGCCTCGATTTTGTTCGTCTGGTCGGGTCGCCTTCGCCGAGCCTGTGTCTGTCCATGCCGACCACTCCCGAGCTAGACTCTCGGCCCTCCGTCTCAATGTCGCCCTCCGAAGGAGCCTCGAGTCCTCCGCAAGAGATGGACTCCTCTCTGTCCGTGGACGAACTTCTGTCGGGCGTTTCTCTGACCTCCTCGCCTGAGGGTATCAGCGACATGCTCACACCCTCGGAACTTGGCGTGTGGTCGTCGTTGTCTGCCTCACCTGGGGACCCGATCTTTGTCGGAAACTCCTCGTCGTGGGCCACTTCGTCGTACGCGTCGTCGGCCACCTCGTCGTCGCCGCAGCCCGAAACAGTGCCGCTCATGGCCGAGCCTCAGCCCATGATCCGTACCCTGGCTGAGCGCCGTAACTCTGTCAAGAACGTGCTCAAGGCTCAGTTCGCCAAGATTGCGGATCTTTTCCCGCAACCGGCCAAGAAGCGGAGTTGCGACCGCATTCGTGTGAAGCGGGTGCCTCTGCTCGTCGAGGGGGTCATCGACCGGCTCCTCACCGCTCTTTCGCCGGATAAGCTCCCCCCTTTTGAGCGTGTCATCCGTAAGTCCACGCCGGCCATCCCTTCCGCGGTGTTTGCTGCCCTAGAGGCTGGCTCGCCCACTGGTGCCGTGCGTGCTCTGAACCTTCCCGAGTGCCGCCTCATGGAGGTGTACCACAGCACTTCCGGAGACCGCGCGAATGCGATTGTCGAGCACGTGAAGGCGATGTTTGACGAGGACGCCGATACGCCCTTTCAGAACCTCTTCAACCTCTTTGTTAAGTTCTTCTGTGCGCTTGCGCTTATTATGGCCTGCGGCTCGCCGAGCTCCAACTGTTTCAAGACCGACGAAGTGGTCCAGGGCATGCTCAATTCGCTTTACAACCTGGCCTGCAAGGGCCAGTTGAAAACGACTGCACGCGCAGTCGAGGCCTGGTTTGCCAAGTACGACATGCCGCCGATCGGCTCCAAGCGCGCGCGTACCCCCGCAACATTCGACTCTGACGACAACGCTCGCCGAAGCAAGCGTCATCAGGGTCTCAAATATTAAGCTCGTTGGGGAGCCTTCAGGCTCCCCTCGACATTTAATCATATGATGATATATATAGAAATGGAAGTCGACTCATGACCAATTTACGCCACGACGACCGGCCGCTCGGCCTCGTCGGGCGGTCGCGATTGTGCATTTGCTCGACTTTTTGAAGTAACCGCACGTACCATATGTGTACAGCGCGGCCTTTTTTTTTTTGAAGTAAAACGCATGCGTTTAGCCCTCCTCGGGGCCAAGAGCAAGCGCTGCGCGCGCCGCAAGCTGCGCCGGGCAGGCGCGCCGCTCGTCGCGCAGCATGCCTTCACAACTTCGGGATCGGATCGATCCACAGGCGGTTGCCCTTCGTCCACATGCGCATCACTCCACCTGCCACTCGCCGACATCACAAGTCGTGTGCCTGTTCTTCTCCTTCGGCTCCTGCCTCGGCCCGAACCAGTCGTTGCTGAGACCCCATTTTGCCACTTTTCGTGGTGTTTGACATGGTTAGAGCAGGTGTGTGAAGGGGGAGAGAGTGGAGAACGATGAAGGGGGGAGGAGGCCATCGTGATCGTTTCAGGGAGAGAGAGGGGCGAGCGATGGCTCATGTTTGTGCATCCTGATGCCATCGCGGCCTGCCAGTCGAGCGAAGCCCAGTGTTTTTTGGCCATCTCCCCACTCTGCCCACGATGGATGGCCGTCTGCCCACGATGGATGGCCATCTCCCCACTCTGCCCACGATGGATGGCCGTCTGCCCACGATGGATGGCCATCTGCCCACTCTGCCCACGATGGATGGCCATCTCCCCACTCTGCCCACGATGAATGGCCGTCTGCCCACGATGGATGGCCATCTCCCCACTCTGCCCACGATGAATGGCCGTCTGCCCACAATGAATGGCCATCTCCCCACTCTGCCCACGATGGATGGCCGTCTGCCCACGATGGATGGCCATCTCCCCACTCTGCCCACGATGAATGGCCGTCTGCCCACAATGAATGGCCCTCTGCCAACGATCAAATGAACGATTCCTCGTAAAGTAGACTCGTGTCGCCCCCCACCTGACCCCCTCCCCCCCCACCCGGGCAGGCCATGTCATACGCGCCACCGGGCTCGACAGCAGCCAACCAGGCGGTGAGCGAACTCCTTGCCAAAGGCTCCCGCATCTCCACTCTGCTCGACACCCTCCTGGTGCCCACCACAGGCGCTGCTGCTGCTGCTGCTGCTGCTGCTGCTGGCGGTGGCGGTGGCGGTGGCGGAGGTGCCACTTCGCCGCTGTCGGCAGCGAGCACCTCGCCTAGTTCGGGAACAGCCACGCCACATACACCGTCATCATCAAGGTCAAACTCGGCAACGACCTCGCCTACAGCCTCATCGCCAGATGGACAGCATTCGCTGCAGCCTATGCGGATGGTGGCCACCGGGAGCGGGGCGAGTGTCGAGGCCGGAATCTCTGCGCAGGCGCAATTGGCTCACTCGCCCGCTGACGCCTCCTCGCATCCGCCTGCCGTCGCCGCTCTCGAGCCCGCGCCTGGTGCACTCACTCCCATGGTTGCGTTGGGCATGGGCACTCCGGACGTCCTGCCACATGCTGTGGCTAGCAGCGACGGCGAGGTCTCGTCGAGCGGAGCCATCGCGCCCGCCGCTGCCGCTGTGGCCGTCACGCCGGTCCTCGATCCGTCGTCGGGCTACGCGCCGTATGCAGGCACTGTCCTCGCCAGCTGTCTTGAGCGGGCGCGGAAGGAGACAGCGCGACTGCTGGGCGAAGCAAAGGCGAGGACGGGCGCGTTTGCGGCCGTGCCGACCTTTCTGGACCCGCAGACCCACGACTGCCCGCCGCCGCCGGACCCGCTCGACCCGCTCCCGCCGTCGCTGCTGACTAAGGAGATGGCGGTGCTTGCGTCGCAAATCCAGGCACGCGAGCGAACGCGCGGGGCGATGGTCGACGTGCTGGTGCGTAAGGGGGTGGTCCCGCTGTCGGCGGCGATGAACATGGCGGCCGGCGTGGGCGACGACGACGACGCCGCCCCTCCGCCTGACACCACCAGGTGGCACCAGGCATGGATCCTTGTCTCGCGGCGGAACGCCATGGGCCTGCTTTACGAGCGCGCGCCCGACGCCAACAGCGGCGAAACGCCGCCGCTGGTCGGCGTCTTGCCTGTAGATGGCGCCAACCAAGTGTCCAAGCTCTCGCCGTCGGACGTCTTTGCGCTGTGCGACGACACCGGCTCGGGCTCGGGCAACATTTACCTCGGCGTCCAGCTCCGGCGCGGAGTCGGCTTTGTGGTCCGCTTCCGCATGCCATCAGACAAGATCCAGCGCGATCTCGCCAGCTCGCTTGCTGGCTCGGGCGGCGCGGCGCCGTCGGCGCTGCTCCCGCACTCGCGGCGGACGCCCGACTCGCTGCAGCTCGACTTGCTCCCGTCGGGCGCGTCGTCGCTGGGCGCAGGCTCGTCGGCCGGCGGCTCGTCATCGAGCTCGCGACTCAACGCGTCGTACGGGCTGAGCGCGCTCGGTCTCTCGGCATCGAGCTCTGCGCTGGGTGGCGACCGTGGGAACGGCTCGTCGGGCCTGCGGGTCTCCAACTTTGCCTCGCTCCAGGCCATGTCGTACGAGTCGACGCCACGCATGCTGTCGGATCTAGGCGGCCTCGGGCGGGCTGCATCGCACAAGACGCGGCGCGGTGGCGGTGGAAGCGGCGGGAGCAGCAGCGGAGGCTCCTCGCGCCCAGCGTACCGCATCATGAACGTGCTGGGATGGCACAACCGACCACGCGGCGAGGTCGCGGACTCGCTCCGGGCGCGGCGCGATCTCTCCACCTTTGGCGGCTCGGCCACCTTTGGCCCGCTCGGCATGCACGCACCCTTCACTCTGCCAGCGCTGGTCGATGTGGCCATCGCGCACGACGCGCGGGCGACATGGGAGGCAGCACGCAAGGCGCGGGCGATTGGGGCGCTGCTGGCGTAGGCGTCGGACGGGTGTGCGTGTTGTGGGCGTCGTTTACATCTCGCCGTCAAAGCCGACAAAGCCCGTGAGCTTGAACAGGTCGTAGTAGGGCTTGGACGGGAGCGCCTGGCACCAGGACCAGAGCGAGGTGAGACGGCCGTCGATGCACGAGCCGGCTTGGATAAAGTTTGCGCCACCCGAACCGTCAAAGGCGTGGAGGAAGAGGTCGTGGAGGATGGCAAGGCGGGCGGTGGGGAGATCGGTCCACGCGCTGTTGACAAAGCTCTCGATGATGTTGTCGTCGTCGACGAGCTGGCCGAGGTTGTTGACGGCGGTGACGATGGGGGTGCAGGCGCGGGCGACGGCGTTGTACTTGTCGATAAAGGCCAGGGCGTTGGGCACCATGTCGTCGCCGACGTGGACGACGGCCGAGCCAACCCACGCGCCGCGGAAGGAGGCCTGAACGGTGTTGACGAGCGAGCGCATGGCGCGGGCAATACGCGGGGCGGCCTGGACGCGGTTGAGACCCTGGCCGGTGTCACGGAGCTCGTACGGCGAGGCCGGATCGAGCAGATCGGCGTCGGCGAGGTACCACAGATGGAACATGTCAAAGGTGACGGCCGACCAGAGGCGGAGCGTCTGGTTGACAAACTGGAACTGGCGGGCGTGGCCGTGGGTGAGCCTCGCACCGCCGACACCCTCGGCGATAGCCAGCGAGTACTCACCGTCGACGGTCTGAGGGTCAAAGTACGAGGCCAGGTAGCCCTGGAGCTGGACGACGGGGACGCGGGCAAAGCGAAGATAGGCAAAGTTGTCGGCCATCGAGTAGATGGCCTGGGCAATGTCGTCCTCGTCAGCACGCGACGACATGTACTTGCGGGCGAGGACCCGCTGCGCCCGCTCCTTGGCTTTGATCTCGGCGTTGATGACCGGCCGGGACTTGCCCTCGGGCATGATCTCGCGAGTGGCGGTGGCGAGTGCAGGCTCGTGGAGCAGGCCCTCAGCGCCAACGGAGCGGAGGTACGTCGCCACCGTCTTGATCTCCTTCACCAGCGAGAAGCCCAGGAGCTCTTGCACGCCAGCAGACTGTGAGTCCTGCAGGATGTAGATGAGCTTGACATACAGGTCGCGGTCGCAGTCCGGGTTGGAGACCTGGTGCCTGCGGTAGACCTCAAAGACCCTGCGGAGGAACTTGGCGTAGCGGTTAAAGTCGCGCGAGTCGACGACGGTGCGGCCCTCCTCCATGGCCGAGGCCGTGATGATGCCCGAGCAGAGTGCGGCGATGTTCTTGATCTGGACCATGGTCCGCTTGGCGGCGTGGCGGAAGACCTTGTCCACCCGGTCGGTGTAGGGCAGGACCCGGACGGCGTTCTTGACCAGCCGCAGCAGCTTTCGCTCCTTGGCCGTGAGTCGCATGGGGATGTACTTTGCCCGCTCTGCGTAGTCGAGCACCTCTCCGGCAGCTTCACCTCCGGCGTCCTCTCTCCCACTCAGCGGCATGCCCACGCCTGCGGCGACGACCTCGTCCATATCCACGGCAGTATCATCTCCACCGGACAGGCCTGCGGCGGCGAGAGCCGGAGCAAGTGACGAGACGGCGCCGTCGAGGATCTTAGGCACGTGACTAGCACGTGTACCTCTCCGATGCAGAGCAGTAAAGCACACATCACACAGCTCATCCAGACACGTCCCACACCTCACACTCGCATCCGTCCGGCACTCGACGCACAGCAGGCGCGAGGGTGATGGCGACGATGGCGACGGCGCACTCGGAGCAGGAGCAGGAGCAGCAGCAGGAGTACTTGAACACGATGCAGATGGACCAGATGACGAAGGCATACCACCAAATCCAGACGGCGATGCCATGTGGGCGTTGGCTCCGGTGGCAGTCGCTTCCCCACCAGAGACAGCGGGAGAGAGTGAGTCAGCCAGGTCGTCGTCGTCGTCGTCAGAGGCGTCAAGAAGCTCGCGGAGGCGGAGGACCCGCTCTGAGGGCTCGGGCTCGGTGCTCATGAAGGACCCCGTTTTGGTGTGGCTGGGGAGGGGGAGGGGTGGTTTGGAGAGGGACGGGGGGAGGGTAAGGGGGAGGGGGAGAGGGAGAGGGGGGGGGAGGGAGGGGAGGGGGGATGTGGGATCGTATCGGAATGAATGGGTGGAAGGAGATGGGGGGGAGAGAGGGGGAGGGGGAGGGGGGATCTGATCGGGGTGTTTGAGGTGGATCGGGGTGTTTGAGGTGGGGGGGTTGGGGGAGGGGAGGGATGGTGTTGGAACGAATGGAGGCAACGAGGAGAGGGGCGGCAATCCCGATCAGCGCCGAGAGGACGCACAACATAGCATCTGCCGTACGCCATCGGTCCCTGTCCGCCGCGTCAGCAGTGTGTCGTGCTGATTCTTGATTGCTGGATGGGCTTTGACGGCCAGGTCCATGGCGTCAAGCACATGCTCTGATGGGCACTCTGCTTTGCACCATGCGCCGCGAGATCACTGCACGACCAGAACAAGGACTGACAATAGGAGCATCACCAACGAATCAATAGCATTATTGACGATCCAAGCCCATGTCCCATCGCACCACAGCAGCTACCACGTGCGCGGCGAGCGGGACTTGCAGTCCTCCCGAGCGGGGGCGAAGCGGGGGATGATCCTCCGGGCCATCTCCCTCCCCTCTCCCTCCGCATCCAACCGCCCCAAATCCCCCTCCACCTCTGATCACACTCTTTCCTCCCTTCTCCCTCCCTCTCCCTCTCCCCCTTCTCCCTCCCCTCCTTATTCCCTTTATCCCATCCCTCCATCCCCCGGGTCACGTGCGCGCGCGCGACGAAAAAAAAGGACTCTGTCGCGCTAACAAACACAAACAAACGAATGAAGGAACGATTGAACGTGCGAACAATTGAACGAACGAATGATTGAACGATTGAGCGCCCTCCACCACCGCCGCCTCGCCCTTGCTCCCCGCTCCCCCCCTCCCTCCCCTCCCCCCGCTCCCTCCCCGCTGTACTACCTACGACCCGAGTGGAAGAGTGAGAAAGTGGAGATGACCTCACGCAAGCAAGCAAGAACACGCAGTGGTACACCTCACTCTCACTAACTTGTGGTCATGAGCTTTGACATGAGCCGTCTTACGAGTCTCTCGGGTGTTATGGAGGTCATGGAGTCGGAGGAGGACAAGGCTCTGGGCGTGGTCATCGCCATGGTGGCCTGGTTCATTCTCCTGGCCATCACTATGATCATTGGTCCTATGGCTCCCTTCTTTGCTACCTTTAAGCCCAAGGACCGCATGCCCTACTACCTCCGCATTGTTCGGTATGTCCCACTCTCTCTGTGTGCTGTAGTGGGGGTTGGGGGGGGGGAGGGGGGGGAGGGAGGGGTGGTTGGTGCTGGCGGTGACTCACTGGTGGACAAACGGTGGCTGGCTTTGGACATGGGGCACGCTGATGATGATGATGATGATGATGATGGGTGATGATGATGACGATGATGATGATGACCATAACCATGATGATGATGATGATGATGATGACCATGACCATGACCATGATGACGATGATGATGATGATGATGATGATGATGATGATGATGATGATGATGATGATGATGATGATGATGACCATAACCATGACGATGATGATGATGACGATGATGGTGCTGTGCTCCTGCACATCCTGTTGGTCATGGCTGTGTTATGCTGCATCTCCTGCTGCTGTTGATCCTGCTCCTGCTGCTGGTCCTGGTCCTGGTTCCTATGGCTTTGTTTTGCTGCATCTCCTGTTCCCACTGCTCCTGGTCGTTTTGGTCGTGATCTGCTGCACTTGGACATTGTCGTGGCAATCCGTTGTCGGCGAGTGCAGGTCGGTGGCTGGCTTCTACGGCCTCTACAATGGCCTGCATCTGCTGCTCAAGACCGAGCTGTACGCCGAGCTCGCGGCGGACCCGGTGACGGGCGTCAACCCGGCGTCGTACCTGTTCATGAAGACCATCCTGGCGTTCTTTGCCTTCGAAATGATCACGTACCTGTACGTCTCGCAGGTCTGGGGCCGCTCGGACTCGACCCTTCTCATCCACCACATCCTCGGCCTCGCTGGCTACTCGATCTACCTCTGGTCCGGCATCGGCTTCTGGTGGGGCGTGTGCCTCTTTACCGAGGAGATCTCGGCGCCGTTCACCGGCGTCTCGTGGGTCCTCAGCAAGCTCAACAAGCCGCACACCGTGACTTGGCTCATCAACCAGTGGATCCTCGTCGTGGTTTGGGTCTTCTTCCGCTGCGGCATCGACCTCATGCTCCTCGGCAACTACTTTGTCCAGCTCCCGCGCTCCTTCCAGATCCTCCCCTACGTCTCGCAGGCCATGCTCTTTGTCGGCACCGGCACCATGGCCCTCTACCTTAACCCGTACTGGCTCAAGGTCAAGGCCACCAACGCCCTCAACTGGTCGCCCGAGCCCAACAAGTCGTTCCGCAAGCGCGAGTAACCCCCTCAGCTAACACTCTCACTTCTGCCACGCACCGGGCTATCCTACGCCCACAGCCATCTGCTCATCAGCCGCTGGCTGTCCGTCCGCCGACCACCCGTCCACCAGACCACCCATCCACCGCACAAAAGACGATGATGGCTGTGTCATGCAAGAGGGAGGTGGTAGCGCGATGGCGATGTTTACATGTCTGCGGTGCGACGAGAGCTGACAGCGGTGACAACGTTGTCCTTGACAGCGACGACAGTAGTACCAGCATCAGTCTCAATGGCCACCATAGGAGAGCCCGAGCCAGGCATGGCCATAGCAGCGTTAGCCACACCGGCCACATAGCCAGCAGCAGGCGAGGTCATGACACCCTTGGTGCCGAGACAGAGACCGTCGAGCTGAGCAGCAACAACACCATTCACATTCTCCTTCTTCGAACTACACCCACCCACACCCATGCCCACACCCAAAACATTGATTTCCATTCGGCAATGAGTATACCCCTTCACTCTGACCATGTCATGCCCTCCCTCCTCCTCCCCCCCCATTCCTCCTCCCAAGTCACGCTCCGCTCCCTCCAGGTCATCTTCCCCCCTCCCCCCTCCCGCCACCTCTTCAACACCCTCTACCACCCCTGCCATACACATAAAACAGATAAAACTTACATAGTGTTGAGAGCACCAATGAGCTCGCTCTCCATGCCGACTTCGGCGCTCAGTGCCTTATCCATGGTCGCTAGCGGAGGTTGAGTGTGCCCCCTCCCCCCCCCCCCCCCTCCCCCCCCCACGCTCTGTCACTCGTCGCCCGTTCGCCGGCTCAGCGACCATCTCCTCGAGCCATCGGTGGGATGACCTGGTCCGAGCTCCGATAACTCTCTGCTCACTCTCTCTGATCACCTGCACTAAACCGCACCCCATTCCCTTTCTGCTCCCCTCTACCGTAGCTGCCCGATCCCCCCCCGATCTCCCCCCTGCCCCTTCTTTGCCACACGCCCGGTTTCGCCCGCAACTCCCCACTGCGCCCCGCCAGCTCCTCCTCCCCCCACCCCCGCTCACCTCCCCACCCCCCACCCCCCACCCCACTCCACCCAACCATGTCAGGTACCCCCCCCCCCTCCCACTATCCCCCCCCCCCCCCCCTCCCTCCTCCCACATGTCACTCACACCCTTACCATCACCCAACCCGGCAGCTGGACCCCCACCGGTGGCGGGCATGGCAGACGAGGAACGGCCGCTGTGGTCAGAGGAAGCAGATGCTATTATGGAAGGACGTGAGATGTACACGCCCAAGGCAAGGCATAGGGATGCCATGACTCTCTGGCTCAATGACCTGCTGAGTGCTACAGGGAGAGAGATCAAGTACATTGATGAAGATCTGAGAGATGGCGTCGTCTTTCTGGCCCTCCTTGAGTACTTGGCCGGCTACTCGTTTGCTGCAAACAGGAAGAACACTACCTTTGAGCCTACGTCGGGTGCTGAAAAGCTGGAGAACTTGCGCGCTGTTTGGGAGTTCTTTGCCGAACAGTTGGGCGTCGATCTTGCTCCCGATCGCCCCGACGAGGTCATGATGAACGATCAGGTGGCGTACAGGGTCCTCCTCCGCGTGGCTTACATGTACAACCTCGGCGATCCAACGTATCTCCCGCCGAGTCTGGAGGCAGAACTCGAGGCTGCGCCGGTCATCATTGAGAAGGCCGACTTCAACCCTGTGGCTGACCGCGACTACGACACTCGCCACCTGCTCATGGTCAAGGCGAGATACGAGGGCGCCGAGAAGCTGGTCCAGCTCCCGATTGTGGCGCCGGCTGGAGTCTGTCTCTACATTATGGGTCTTCGCTTTGGGCTGGAGATCTGCGACGTCTCCAAGTGGGATCTGCTCATGGTCCAGCCGTCGGGAAAGACTTCCAAGATCAAGCCGGACAAGCCGCTCGAGTCGTTTGCGCACCTCCACGGCCAGATCTTCAACTTGATGCGCAAAGATCCCGAGATCGAGCCGACAGACCTTCTCCTCCGTGTGGCCATGGACGAGAGCGCGTCGGTCATCAAGACTGTTCCACTCAAGGCGCAGTACTCGACGATAGTGGCGGTGTACAAGGTGTGGGAGGCCGTGGGCGACAAGTCGGCCAACTTTGCGGCCTTCTCGCTGAAGACCGAGTCCGGCAAGACGCTCAAGCATGCAAAGTCGCTCGAGTCGGCCGGCCTTGCCTCGCGCGACCTGGTCTACTACGTTTGCGTCGACGAGGAGGCCGCGGCAGTGGCGGCCACAAAGGTCGACGAGAAGCACCTTGCTGAGGAGGACAAGCTCTACCTCCGCATCGAGCTTGCCGAGACTGGCACGGTCAAGCTCCTGTGCTTTGACAAGAACCTGACGGTGGCGTCGGCCATGAACGAGATCGGCGTCAAGTTTGAGATCATCAACGTTGTCGACTACTTCCTCAAGTCGGACAAGAAGGGCACGCTCAAGCTGACCAAGACGCTCGCCGACTACAAGTTTGAGAATCGCGACGAGATGCAGTTTCTTCTCCACAAGGGCAAGATCCGCGAGAACGGCCGCCTCGAGTTTTCGGTTGACTCGATCCTGCCTTCCGAGTGGGACGACATTCTCGAGGCTGCTGGCATCGACAAGACGAAGCTGCGGACCCGTAAGGAGACCATGCAGATCCGCGACTTTGTGGCCGAGCACCTGCTGGCCGGCGGCGCTGACGGCGCAAGCGCAAGCGGCGCCCCAGCGCCCGCACCCAAGCCCGCCCGCAAGCCGCTGCCTGGCGGGCTCAAGCCGGCCGGCAAGGCCGCCAAGCGACTCTCGCTCACACCCGCCGGCCGGGCCAGGAGCCCTGGCCCCGGCCCCGGCCCGATTAATCCCAAGCCCAAGCCTGCTGTGGCGGCCAAGCCTGCTGTGGCGGCCAAGCCTGCTGTGGCGGCCAAGCCTGCTGTGGCGGCCAAGCCTGCTGTGGCGGCCAAGCCTGCTGTGGCGGCCAAGCCTGTTGTGGCGGCCAAGCCTGTCGGCGGGCCGCCTCCGATTGCTGCCAAGCCGCGAGTTACCAACGCGGCGGTGGCGGGGATGGACGCGTCAGCCAAGTCTGCGCTGGCGTCTGCGCTTGCAGCACAGTTTGGGGCGGCGGGAGCGGCCAAGACGGCAGCGGCGCCTATGGCGGCGCCCGAGGCCGTTGCGTTCGACGCAGACGGATACGATGCCGAGGGCTTTGATGCCCAGGGCTACGACCGCAATGGCTTTGACCGGCTCGGCTACGACCGCAACGGCTACGACGCTGCGGGGGGTACTGGGACACGGCGGGCAACTACATCGACGCGGCAGGTGGCATTACCGACGTCGAGGGCGGATACACCGACGCAGCCGGCGTGTACTATCCGCCCGGCACGTACTAGTTTTATCCCTTAGCGGTACGGTCGTTCGGACGCATTGTCGCGCGTCTCAAAGTGAACAACTCGATGATGCTTGACTCCCAGGTCACCGGCCGACGCTGCGCGACGCTGCGCGACGCGTCCATCTCTGCATCGCCGACTGTTTCTGTTGTGGCCCACCAGTGACCACGGCAGCCATTAACACATTGTACTACTCTTTTACCGCGATCGATGGACGTTGCGACGTTTGTGGAGCGTTGCTGTGCGCGGCTTGCGCGATGGACAAATGTGTCCACTCCGTACCGTAAAGGATAAAAGGCGGATGAGCGGTTCACGCATCCATCAGCGGCGGCGCAGACGCGTTTTCAAGGAGGAGGCGGACGACGTCAGCGTGACCGTTTGCTGTAGCCCAGTGGACGGCACAGTTGCCTTTGACGGCGTCGCCAATGGCGGTATCTGCGCCATGCTCCAGAAGAAGCTTGACCATGTCGTAGTGGCCGGCCCGCGAGGCAACGTGGAGAGCGGTCAAGCCGCGCTTGTTGGGCATATCGGCCTGGACGCCGTCGGCAAGCATCTGAGCGACGACGCCAAAGTCGTTTGCCGCGGCGCGCTCGACGAGGTGGTCGCCTTGGGAGGCGACGCCCGCGCCCTTGACAGGTGACTTTGCCGATGCGTGAGTCTTGCGGGCGGCCATGAGCAAGGCCTTGATGTCCCGGCCAATGAGCTCAATCTCGGGCGCCTCGACGGTAACGAGCGAGTTGACGAGGCGCAGCGGATCAGAGCCCGTCGAAACCGAGGCGCCAAGCTCGAGCAGGTCACGGACAACCTCGACGTGACCGTGGGCGGCAGCGATGCCAAGCGCAGTCCAACCGTCGCGGTTGGTGGCGTTGAGCGAGACCTCAGACATAGCGGCGAGGCGGGCGATGACGCCGGTCTGGCCCTTGGCAGCGGCATAGTGGAGCTTGGCGTTGAGGATAGCCGAGACAATGGCCGACGAACCGGCAGAAGTGGCAGCATCAAGCGGCGACTTGCCGGTGTTGGTGTAGCTCCACAGCGACGCGCCAGCGTCGATGAGAAAGTTGGCCAGCTTGGCGTGACCACCGGCTGCAGCGAGGAACAGCGCCGACTCGCCGTTGTGATTGGTGGCGTCGATGTCTGCGCCGTTTTCCAGCAGCAGCTCGGCGATGGTCACCGAGCCAGTGGAGGCAGCGAGGTGGAGCGGGAGCTCACCCTGGCCGTTGGCGTGGTTGTACACGTCGCGATTGACCTCGACCTCTTCGCCAAGCTTGTCGAGGTAGTCGATGGACGAGAACGAGTGCATGCGGCCCTTGGATCCGGAGCGGCGGAACTCTGCGCCATGTCGAGCAGAATCAGGTGCAGCGCCACGCAGTGAATGAGAGTGATGAGTGCGACGAGTGCGCATTGCGCGGTGGATGGCATGGATGGCATGGATGGCATGGATGGCATGGATGTGATGGATGTGATGGATGTGATGGATGTGATGGATGTGATGGATGTGATGGATGTGATGGATGTGATGGATGTGATGATGTGATGGATGTGATGGATGTGATGGATGTGATGGATGTGATGGATGTGATGGATGTGATGGATGTGATGGATGGCATGGATGTGATGGATGTGATGGATGTGATGGATGTGATGGATGTGATGGATGTGATGGATGTGATGGATGTGATGGATGTGATGGATGTGATGGATGTGATGATGTGATGGATGTGAT